GGGATATATATATACACACATATATACCACATGCATACTGAGTTATTATTAATAAAAACAGTTCTAGCCACAAAGGCAAACAATGCTTCTGGTGAGAAACCTACTCATAATTTTAAGTTGGTCAATTAGAAATATATTTCCCCTAAAACAAAAATCCCTCTCATCACTTTCTTCCTCTCACTCTCAATTGAATTTTTTCTTTTCTTTCATCCTTTTTTCCTACCTGCCTGGCAACTATTTCCCTTATTTCCATTCAGTTCATGTGTTTTGATTGAGCTGACCCTAATTCCAACTCCTAGGAAGATAATATGACATAGAACTAAACCAATCAGCATATTCTGTTATTAGCAACAGTGACTCAGAGATTGGTTCACAACCCTATTTGGTACTATGCATTCCAAACCCTAGATTGGGGTCAAACTGTTGCTATTGGAGAAAATGCTTCTCTTTAACTACAAGAATATAAACCTGCAGCTCCTGGCAGCCACTCTTTGTCCAAAGAGGAAGGAAGTGCTAGAAATGGCTTCAGTATTGAGGGACGCACAGCCAAGATTTAGAAGCGGCAAAGGAGCAGATGCAGAGCCTTTAGCGTGGGTGTCCACAAGGACATTAAAGGAACATTCACCTGGGGAAATGCATGCTTCTCAAACCAACTTGTAAAGAATATCAGCCCTGCGAGGGCTGTAGGCCGAGAGGCAGTTTAGAACTGTATTAGTGATTGAGCAGGGATCAATACATATCTGAGCAGCTCAGTGCTCATGCGTGGTTGGCCATGGCATAATGATGAGTGCCTGGTTTCTTTTTAAGGGACTAGGGAATAATTGAATTATATTGTCCATATCCTTTTATCCTTTAAACTTTCTTCCAAAGGCAGAGTTCTATTTAATGTCATATAATGAAGCTGTCAAAGAAATGAAAAGACTCAGAGGGGACAATAAAGTTTCATCATCTTTCTCCTCCTCTAAGAAGTAGCAGAGCCTAAGGGAGCAGAGCCTCCCGTGAAGCAGCAGGGAGGGGTTTAAATGCCTCTCACTGCCTGAAGTCCTTCCACTGCCTGGTCTCCTACGTGGGTGACAGGCATTTCCAGTTATGGGCAATATTAAAGAGGCAGCACCACCAGAGCTGGCATTGGGGGTGCAGATGTCCTGTTTTGAGAAGGCTATTTGGTCCTTGAAACATGGTAGTGGCTTGGGGTAGACTCTGGACAGTAGGCTTTAAAAAGAACAATAAAAATGATATATTTCCTTTCTATCTTTTTGGCTGTATGTAACAAGATAGCAAACCATCTCAAGAATTACTCATTGTGTTATTTTAAATATATTTGATTGCAGTTAATGAAACTAGACAATGACTAACTTAAACCATAAGGAGATACATTGGAAGCGTGTTTGGATAGCTCCTGGAATTCAATTAAATTCTGAACTAAATCTCTAGAGGAATGTAAACTAGAATAGTTTAAGAGGCCTTAGAAAGAGAAATCTGTAAAACCTTTCTCTAGAGAGCTGGCATTAAGGTGAATTAGAGCTACCCTTCCATGAAAGAATCTAGATTTTTAAGAGAAAGGGCTCAATTAGCCTTGCAACCATGGAAGGAAGTGAAAGTCACCTTGAGGGGCCAGCGCTGTGGCAAAGTAGATTAATCCTCTGCCTGTAGCACCGGCATCCCATATGGGCGTCAGTTTTAGTCCTGGCTGCTCTTCTTCCAATACAGCTCTCTGCTATGGCCTGGGAAAGCGGTAGAAGATGGCCCAAGTGCTTGGGCCCCTGCACCCACGTGAGAGACCAAGAAGAAGCTCCTGGCTCCTGGCTTCAGATCAGCGCAGCTCTGGCTGTTGTGGCCATTTGGGGAGTGAATCGGCAGAAGAAGACCTTTCTCTGTCTCCTCTCCCTCTCACTGTCTGTAACTCTACCTCTCAAATAAGTAAATAAAATCTTAAAAAAAAAAAGAAAATAAGTCACCTTGGGCCCAGGTTTGATTATCAGGAATGGATGCACAGGTCAGAAATTGTAAACAGGACAAAAATGGTTTAGGTGATGAGAGAGTAGAGTGGAATAAGGCAGGGATGGGGGTGGAGAATGTACATCTGGCCTGAACAATCCTGTGTTATATCAAGGAAACTTGAATGAAGTAGTCTGAATGGGTAACCCATCCCTTCCCCATTGACAGTGAAAAGTAAAATATCCATGAGCTGGTCTTCAGAAACACAAACTATTGGGAAAATCATGGGTTGAATTTTCTCATTCTATAGGCATTTTTGAGTGAGGAAAGCCTACAAATGATAGAAAAGGGCTTAAAGAAAAGAAATCAACTTTAGTCCTTAAGTGTAGCGAAGTAAGAAAACAAAGGATAGACTAAGTCAGAGGCTTTGTGTTAAGTTATGATTTAATGAATCAAAAACTCCTGACTATGGGCTCACTTCGTGGCTTAGTGAGTAAAGCCACTGCCTGCGACTCTGGAATCCCATATAAGCACCAGTTTGAGTCCTGACTGCCCCACTTCTAATCCATCTTTCTATTCATGTACCTAGGAAAGAAGCAGAATATGGCCCAAGTACTTGGGATCCTGACCTGTCTCCCTATAGGAGACCTGGATGAAGCTCCTAGCTTCTACCCGACTCAGCCCTGGCCAATGCAACCATTCGGGGAGTGACCGATCTGATGGAAGATCTGTTTCTCTCTCTCTCTCTCTCGCTCTCTTTCTGTAATTCTTGCATTCTAATAAATAAATAAACTTCTAAAAATGAATGCTTTTTCTGCTTAACTTAAAAACAAAAATAACTCCTGACTCAATTATTATTGTACCGATCAAAACATATTAGGATACAGAGCAAATCACTGGGTTTTTTGGACTCTGGTTGAGTCATTCTCAAAGATAATGTAGACCTCTTTTCTGGATTCCTACACTTACCTCAAAATTCCAGATGACTAATTCTATTTCAGGTGAGAAAATGCTAGAAAGGGAATACTATGGGCCTATTGAACTGTACTCTGAACTGTGTTCATTGCTTGAGGATTCAATAAGATAATATACATGCAAATTTCTGCAAATGGGGCCAGTGCTATGGTCTAGCAGGTGAAGCCCCCACCTGCAGTGCTGGCATCCTATGTGAGTACTGATATAAGTCCCAGCTGCTCCAGTTCTGATCCAGTTCTCTGCTCTGGCCTTGGAAAGCAGTAGAGGATAGCCCAGGTCCTTGGGCCCCTGCCCCTGAATGAGACCCAAAGGAAGCTCCTGGCTCCTGGCTTCATATGGCTCAGCTCCGGCTGTTGCGGCCATCTGGGGAGTGAACTAGCAGATGGTTCTTTGTCTCTACCTCTCTCTGTCTCTGCCTGTCCATAACTCTGCCTTTCAAATAAATAAACTTAAAAAAAAAATCTGTAAACATACTAAGATCTCAGCAAATATAATTTTGTTTTCTTTGACTTCCCCCTTTATACTGCAAAGTCTGACCCTGGTCTTTGGAGAGTTTTATTGTCCATTGTATTTATAAAATTTTGTGGTAAGTTTGTGGAGAAATGCTTCCAGAATTTACCTACCATGAGTCAATTTTGCAACATATCTGATTATAGGAAAGAACTCAGAGTATCCAGTTTCTGGAAGCTAGCAAAACTAAAATCATTCCTTATTCTTTGTGTTTGCACAAAAGGTTTTTTCCATAAAAGAAGCAGCAAAAACCTCTCCTTAAAAAAAATTCTCTAAACACAGTCTAAGAGGCATTCATAGTCTTGGATCATGCATTCCCTGGAATCACTAATGAGGTTATTTGAAACCTAAGGAAGGCAGCTCCCCCTAATAGAAGGCCTGATGGTGTTTTTAGTTCAAATCAGAAGTAACTTGGCTTCTCACAGCAAATGGTTAATAATGAACAGTATTAGAGGATCTTGGGTACTGCAGGCACCCAAAGAGTCATGTATGCATACCATGCAGTAGGCAGCTGTTATGCACTTAAACTTCTGCTAAGACATTTAGGGGGAGGTGATATTAAATTCATTGGAAATGCACTGGGGGAAGTTTATTATTTGAAGAAACCAGAAATAAACCTTTTTATAGGATGATGGTTATAAACAGATTTTTCTAACACTGGATTTTTTATAATATGTTACTCAAGCCTTAGGTGATTCTCTAAAATCTGGTATCAAAGGGAGAGTGGCTCCCTGGTGATCTTCAGGATACACAGCTACACTCATTCTCCAAATATCCACATAGAATTAACAAATGAAAGCCTCAGCAATTTTTGTGGCCACTAGGGAAGAAGTTTTGTTCTTTTACGTCAAATAACTACAACTAAATTCCTGCCAGGCACTGCATCAGACAAACAATAACAACCCTGTCTCCTGACTGTGGACTTGGCCAGGATAGACAGAGGTCTGTGAGACTTCGGGAGCCAAGCAGAAGGAGCTCTTCACCGAGCCATGGCTCTGCCCCCAGAAAGCATCTTTGTTATGACACATGGCAGCTTCAATCCCTCAAACCTCACTTCTAGTGGGAAGAGAAAGAGTTCCATCCCTATCACTTAAAAAGCTAAAAATTTAAACCGGAAGGAATCGCATAGATTATCCCACCTCATGCTTTTCTGACTTCTGAATTTCACAGACATGCAACATTTAAAAATATAACTGCATTAAAAATAAAATAAAATAAAATAGGGAGAGGAAGGGAAGATACTGACATTGGATCTTTATATAATGACAACGGGCCTAAAAACTATCAGGAGCTGTTTGGCAGCTAAGACTTTGAAACTCCTTATTTTTTTCCTTAGAAATCTTGTGCAGAAAGGAGAACATGAGATAAAGCTACAAAACACTGGGAGTCAGCTAGGGCCCCCTATTTTGGAGTAGGTGAGGGGTTTCCCAGAGCAGTGGCAAAGGAGCAGGGCTGTGGTGCACAGAATGAGAGTTCTGATCTCAGAGAGACAGAGAACTTCTCTGAACTCACTTTCTGCAGTAAAAACTTACCCTCCAGTATCAAGAGTAGATCCTGCATCAAGTACACAAACTCACCGAGTTCCAGTTTCGTGAGAAGAAGCAGAGGGAAACTCAATGACTGCCTATGGTTGAAAGAAGTCTGTAACCCTGGAAGCAAAAGGAAAGATATATTTTGTTTTTATTTATTTATTTATTTATTTAAAAAGAAGGAAAGAGGAGAGAGAGCGAGAAGAGATATCTCCCATTTTTGTTTCACTCCCCAAAGGCCAGTAAAAGCTAGGACTGGGCCAGGCTGAAGACAAAATCCCTGAATTCCATCTGGGTCTTCCACATGGATGACAGGGATCCAAGTACCTGGGCCAAGTGCCTCCCACCTGCTGCCTTCCATTAGCAGGAAGCTGGATTGGAAGTAGTGGAGCTGGGACTTAGATGCCAGAGCTACTATTCTCATTTTGTTGGAGAAATGTACAAATAAACAGTATACAAATTGTACACTAATACACAAAATGTTACCCAAAAATGATTGCTGTAAATATGCTACAAAAATGAACAAAGAACCATGGAACCATGAATAAAATAGAATGAACCCATACAAGGAAATTGTTTTCATGAAGTATCTTTATTTTGAGGCTAAAGTTTTTGCCATCATTAAAAAGACATATTGAAGTAATTCTCCCTGTAAAATAGGAATCCAAAGAAGAGAAGTAATAGCTCAAGGAGGATATGCCAATAAAAAAGAACAGAAAATAGATGTTAAGATTTTGGGAATAAAGTAAAATTTTTAAAAAAGAGACAGAAATAAAAATGAACTTGGAAGATCATATATATATATATATATATAATTGAAGTATTTAAATTAAAATGTAATTGTACACACACCAAACATATTAACAATTTATTCACTTGATGTGTGAAAAAGTGCACATGATTATTGGTAACTAGAGTTTAAGTTAAAACTTCAATCAGATACTACTACATACACAATAGGATAGTTAAATTTAATGACTGAAACTTCAAATATTGGAATGGTGTAGAGCACTCAGGCTCATACATTGTGGAAATGCAAGTGATCCCACCACTTTGAGAAAAGGTTACAGAGTTCCCTAAAAAAGAACATACATATACCTTAGACTCAAAAATATTCCTTCTAGGTATTGTTCGAATAGATATGAAAATAAAAGCCTATTAATATTTTTATAGAAAAATGTTTACACAGCTTTATTACTAACTCACAAAAGAGAGAGTATACAAAGAATATTTATACTGTGAACAGATAGTAAGCCATCAAAAGGAGAAAATTGAAAACTCATCCAGTATTATAAATAAATACTACAGATAAAATGATGGGTGAAAGAAGTTGGATGTAAAACATCATATATTTTATAATTCTACTTATTTGAAGCTTCAGAAAAGACAAACCTAACTATATATATAGTTGTATATTGTATATAAACTACTATATATATTTAGTTGTATATCATATATACTATATGTATAGTTGTATGTAGTATTTAAACAACTATATAACTATAAATAACTATATAACTATATAGTCATAGAGATATATTTATCTCTCTATTTATGTTAGATTATATATAATTATATATGATATCTATATATTTATAGTTATTTATCTATCTATCTATCTAGATGTAGCAGTTGCCTCTGGGGGAGCAACATTGAAAAGCACATAAAAGAAATTTCTTGGGAGTAGATAGTGTACTGCAGTGTGTTAAGCTGCTTTTGGGAAGCTTGCATCCCATATGAGCATGCCTGGAATCCAGTCCTGACTCTGCTTCTGAACGAGATTCCTGCTAATGCTTTTGGGAGTCAGCAGATTATGGCCCAACGAACTGGATCCATGCCTCCCATGTGGAAGATCCAGATGGAACTTAGGACTCTTGTCTTCAGTCATTGCCCAGTCCAGGCTATTGCTGGCCCTTGGAGAGTGAAAAAAAAAAAAAAGATGATCTCTCTCTCTTTCTCTCTCTATATATCTTTCTCTCTCTCTCTCCCTCTCTCATTTTGCCTTTCAAATTAATAAATAAATCCTTTTTTTTTTCAAAAAGAACTTTCTGGAGTGGTAGAAATATATAATGTCAGAGAGAATGAGAGAGAGAGAGAGAGAGACAGACAGACAGACAGAGACATCATCTCCTATTCACTGGTACATGCTTCAAATGCCCTCACCAATGGGGACAGGGACAGGTCAAATCCAGAAGCTGAGAACTCAATCTGGGTCCCCCTTTGGGTAACAGAGTCATCATTTGCTGTTTCTCAGGGTGCATGGAACAGGAAGCTGGAATCAGGATTGAAGGTGGGTCTCAAACCCAGGCAATGCAGTATGGTATAAGGATGACCCAAGTGGCGTCTTCACTGTTGAACAAAATGCCTACCTGAAATGTATTGTATCTTGATCTGAAGTAGATTAAAAAAGGGTGTCCATATGTCAAAGTTATACAGTTAATATGTGAGTTGAAATATATACATATATACATTTATTGTATAATTATGTTTATTATTGTACAAGTATATTGACTGAAATAAATTTACCTTAAAGAGAACCAATACTAATGAATACTCAGTGAGAGTAGGGGAGTGAATGGAAGTATGCACAAAACAAAAAAGAATTAAAGTAAACTACAAAATAAAAACTGAATTTTTATAATTGCTAAAGGTGAGAGATGGTACATAGGATTCGTTTACTCATCCTTTTTGATATAGGTTTGAATCTTCCTCAAATAGTTAAAAAATTCTAAAATAAAGTAAGACTTTATTCTACATATAGAATTGGCATAAGTATTCAAGAAAAAAATATCTTCTCTTTTGCCTGAATCTTATTTTTTCTATTATTAACATCATGATTCATGTGTTTTTTTGTAGTTGCATTTGCCTGCTATTTCTTTGCCAATTCTTTTACTTTTAACCATTTAAATTATTTCTTGTTTTAAATATATCCTTTTATGTAGCCTTCCTTGAGTTATAGTTTGCTTTGCTGGCCAAGATGAAAAAAAAAAAAATCTTTTCCTTTTTAATAGTTACCATAAACCCACACTGTGAGACTGACAGGTTTAATCTTAAGTCCACAATACATTTTTAAAATGTCTTTTACATTGAGATTTGATTCATCTGTGGTTTTAGCATTTCTTTTAATATTTATAAGACATGTATTTTCTATAGTTGCTATCTTTATGTTAATAACTTTATATAACTGATAACTCAATTGATTGGGTTCCTGCCGATCAACTGGGACCAGGATTGAGTTCTAGCTATTGGCTTCAGCCTGTCCCAGACCTGCTCATTAAAGGAAACTGTGGTGAGGATCAGTGGATGGGAGTGCTCTCTTTTCTCTCTCTCTCTCTCTCTCTCTCTCTCTCTCTCTCTCCTTGTCAAATAAGTAAATATTAAAATGCACACATGTTTTACTATTTTTCTGTTTATTATTGAAGTAAAAAAGTGTGTACACTAACATTTATCAAATTCATACTTTTTAGTGTATGGTTCTGAATTTTGCAAACACATATGGTGGTCAGAACCGAGTTCCAGGTGGTAACACGACTGAAGTGACCTGTGTCTGTTTGCTGTGGACTAACAGTTCACAAAGTTTCTAGACACTCCTGGATGCCTTGGCTCATGTTCTCTTCCTCCACCTTCACAGCCAGCGAGGGCTGACCAAGTCCTCCCTGCTCTTCCAATCTCCCTGCCCTCTCCTGCTGTCTGTTTTGTCTACCTTTCTTCTCTGACTTTAAGGACTCTATGGTTAGTTTGGGCCCACTCAGATAATCTAGGATAATCTTCCTATTTTAAGGTGAGTTGATCAGTAACTTCAATCACATCTGCAAAATTATTTCACAACAGTACCCAATTAGTGCTTGAATCTATTATCTTTATGACAAGAATGAGAATTTTAGAGGGGCACCTTTATAATTCTGTCACTTGATTGCACTCCCAAGGGAAATAAAAATTAAGCATCTACAGAGGTATCTTTTTTCACATTGAATTGAAGCAATGATCAAAAATTGGGATAACTTACTGATGAAGGCAGAAAGGTACCAAGAACTTGGGTATATGGCTAGTAGGAGTTTTCATTGGCATAACATTCATAGAGGGTCAAATGGAAAAACCTAGCACAATTACATACATAAACACCTGTTCACCCAGAAATTCTACTTTTACAGTTGCTGAATATCATCCTGTTAACAGAGAAAAACAGATTCTCTTTATGAAAACAGGATCAGCCTGATAACTGATATTGAGTAGGCAGTCATATATAATCCTTGATATTTTTCACATTTGCAACTAAAGTTTCCAGAGAGAAGGGGGACCAGGAAGCAGGGAGAGAGCAAGAACAGGCATTCCTTGCCTTAAGGAGAAGATTTTATATTATACCTATTCCATTTAATTTCTTTCAGAGTCATATCATTAAAAAAATTAGGAAGCTAAATTTAGAGCATTAAATTGGACAAAGTGAGATGTAGTTAAAAATGGAAAAAAGAAACTTAAAAAAGAACCTAAAATATATACCAGTCTGATTTTTCATTGATGATATATTTACTGAAGCTCCAGGATTTTCACACTAAATATTTTAAATACTTCGTCACCACTTACATTTCAGACCGCTCAAAAATGTCAACAGATAGTGAGCGTTTATTGAGGCAAATTGTATACCAGGAACTGTTAGAAGGATTTTCAATAAAACATACTTTTTTTCTTCACAATCACCTTATCATATGGATATTATATTCTCTCCATTTTTAAAAATGAGGAAATTGAGGCCTGAGGGTATTGAATAATTTACCCAAGATCACAGAACAAATGATCAGTATTACTTATCAAAACCAAGGAGTTCAGTTTTGGAACAAATAACATCCTGTCAATTATATAATCAATCTGCAAGGAACCATGTGTGCTTGCTTGAGTTTCTTCTTTAAAAAGGTAAAAATATTGAAATACAGATATATGAAGAATCAATAATGGCTACAGACTAGGAAAAAGTTGTATTGTAAGTAGGCAAAAAATCAGGGAAAAGAGCCTGGGTTTGAATTTAACTCTGCTGCTTCCCTAGAGTGAACGCATGAGCAAGTGGTAAGCCAGAGTTTCTTTGTTGATGAAATAAAGGTAACAGTATTTCCTTTAAAGGACTCTTC